TCAGGGAAGGCCTCTATGATAGGGTGACCTGAAGACACTGAGAGAACAAGCTGTGTATATCCATGGATCTGGGGAAGAATGCTTCTTTCAGTTAGCTGCAGCATGCCTGGAGTATCCACAGAGCAGGCTGGAATGACTGGAGGAAACAAGGGGAAGAGGTCATAAGGATGGAGAAGTAGCAGGATCATAAGAGCTGTGCTGTCCGAGATAGTAGGCATAAGCCACATTTTGCTGTTTAAATAGAAATTAAATTTAATTTAAAAAATTCAGTTCCTCAGCTATATTCCAAGTGATAAATAGCCACATGTGGCTAGTGGCTTTCATATTGGACAGCATAGATATAGAACACTTCTATCATTGCAAAAAATTCTGCTGGAGAGTAGTGATATTATAGGATATTAGGAACTCTGCTGACTGGACAGATATCTACTTTGAGAACATACCTGCATTGGAATTGGGCAAATGAGCCGTTAGAAAGTGGCCCCTTCCTATACAGAAACATGGTTTCTTAGAGTGTTATAGGGAAGCGTACTAGCCGAGGTCATGAGGACATTAAAATGTCTGTATTTAATATAGACAAGCAAAGAAATTGAAAGGCAATGGGAAGTAAATCTTTGGATATTTGTGGATATTTCTAGGGAATTGAGAGGAGAATGAATCATCTCTATTTGGGGATATGTCACATTCAGATTAGATTGTAAGCATGTGGCCAGAATTGTACTTTTTTAGACTAATTTTGTTTTAAATGTGCATACTTAGATTGACATGAGTGTTCTTTAAGCAACATAAATGAAAGAATAAATAACAAATCTATCATTCTGATAAGAAACTAAGGTCATTTTGTTCAATTAAAGCCAAAATTCACTCTGCCCTTAGATATAACAGCCATGACACTACTTCACTGCTAATCCAGTCAGTATTTCTTGCAATAATTATCAAACAGTGCTCCAAAAGAAACCTTGAGGGGATAGGCAGAAGGAACCAGCACAAAGGCTTGGCATACCACCACCCTATATTCTCAAGAATTTATCTACTTTTATCTTTTATAGATAATACTGCAATTTCAAGCAATTTGAAACTCATAAAACATAACCCATTCTGATCATAAGACCCACTGTGTGTGTGTGGAACTGGCAGGCCACTTTTAGAAGCATATTACTAGATACAGTTTTATTATATTTAGATATAGATGCAGTTGTCTTAAAGAACTGGGAGTTTAAAAGTCCCTAATGGAGACCCACCTTTTAGGATCTTTCTAATGGGTGTAGTTTTTTGCAGATATGGTGATTGTATGAAGAGTAGGTGAATCTACCAAAACTTCCTCATTGCTGAGTTATATTTTGCTAGGATTGTGAAACTAAAAGTTAAGAGAATAGCATATTCTCTATGCAAATTGGTGCCAGAATAAGAGTTAGCATCTCTAACATCTTGTTTTATTCTTATTTCTTTTATATGCTGCAAGAGGATATTTGTTAATACTAAAGTTTAGGGTAGAGGGTTATACCAGCTAAATAAACTTATTACTGAGTCATTTTATTCCATACAAATCAAGGATTATGTGATTTTAAAAATGAAACACTAGGAACTAATGTCTCGGAATTGTTTTAAAATAGAGACAATGAAAACTTTTACTTGATATTTGATAGATTTTTCAGCTGCTCCATTTTGCCATTTTGCAAAGATTAAAAAAAAATTACTACTGAATTTAAAGTAACAGTTACTATAGGATTAGTTGTAGTCTCATACATATCTGCCTTATATCACACAAGGAGCTCTGGTGGTGCAGTGGTTAAGGTAATCGGCTGCTAACCAAAAAGTCTGAAGTTTGAACCCACAAGCCATTCTTTGAGAGATAAGTAGGGCAGTCTGCTTTGTAAAGATTTACAGCCTTGGAAATCCTACGGGGCAGTTCTACTCTGTCCTATAAACTAAAAACAAACAAACAAACTCATTGCTGCCAAGTCAGATCTGACTCATAGCAACCCCTCCTTGGGTTTCCTAGGTAGTATCACTCTGGTCCCTATAAATCAGAATCAACTCAATGGAAATGAATTTTTTTCCATCTGTTTATATCACACAAAAGTGAAGCCTTTTAACATCTGAGAAATCTGTGGTTACTTGTGCTTCATGGCTTTTCAGGCTCCTTATCTAATTGATCAATAGATACTAATTTCCAGCTTGCTCCTGAATCAGTTACCATACAAAATCACATACCTCATCAAGAAATCTCCAAGGAATGTTTTACAGCTTTGCATGTAATCCCACCCGGTCAACTATTATAATGCAACTAAATCAAGGGATCAAAGAATCAATTCATCAGTCTTATCTCTCACTCAGTTTACTTCAATAATGAAGGATATTAATTGCAGAACACACTCTTCTGAAATGCTATTAATTTTCTAAAAATGAGTTGTGTTTTGGGTATCTAGTGCTGCTATAACAGAAAATATCACAAGTGGATGGTGTTAACAAACAGGGATTTATTCTCTTACAGTTTTGGAGGCTAGAAGTCCAAGTTCAAAGTACCTGCTCTAGGAGCTAGGTGAAGGCCCTTTCGACCTTGAGCTTCAGTTCTGCCTCTTGCTTCTGGCCCACTGAAACTGGAGGCTTCTCTTAACTCAGGTAGCTGCTGGCTGCTGAGGCTGACAAACCCAAGATCGACAAGTAAAATGGCATAGTCCCAAGATTATCAAGCAACACAACAGGCTACTAGTTCAAGCCCAGAAATAGTCCCAAGATCAGCAGACAACATAGTAGGCCACTCACTGATGACTCAGCCAAATGCAAGATCCTCATGCACCAAGTAGCTCAGAGACCTTTCTCAAAGCTGCTTCTTATATACTGAAAGCAGGCCACATCCCTGAGACAGCTACTCAGCTGCTCACAGCAGATTCCACCATGGAGTTGATTACCAGTCTCTCCTCATGAGGAATCACTACATCTAGCTGCGCAGCTACTCAAAATCAGGCCCAGCTAAGTTGACACATAACCATAACTAGCACAGATTGCAATACCAAAAATATGTTTTCTTCAGTCCTAGAGGTTATTCCTTAAAATTTGTTAGCATGTTGCGAGCAATAGGAAAAGGTGCATAATTTAGAAAAAGTTTTATATAAATTTTATTCATTATGTGACACAGAGCTTACTTAGATTTACTTGGATTTTCTGCTGCTTGGGATACAGTAGGCACTCAATTCATACTCATTGAATTGAGTTAAATAAAAATTCAGTAACTCCTTTACTTTCAGTAAAAATAACATGAAACAAGGAAATGCATTCAAAGACTTCAGATAAGGGAAGTCATGTATGGAAATATCATTGGGTACTAAATCAGGATTGTCTTCTGGACAAGCCATAAGGACAAGGTATAATTTAGTGACTCCACCACCCCTAAAATAAAGTTTTCTTCTACCTACAGATGCCTGAAATGTCTTGATCTGGGAAATCCTGAATGATATTGGTCCAATTTTTGGATCTTCCAGGCATGCAACCTTGGACAAGTCTATTTCTTCATTTGTAATGAGAATAATAATAGTTCCTCTGCAAGATTGTTGTGATAATGTTTATAAAATACCTGATCCATATACTCTGTCTTTCAATTTAAAACTCAGAAGAACATTTTAAATGCAAAAACTGCTTCTTTCATGTGAACTTAGTCTATTACAAAGGTTAAATGATATAAATTTACTTTTTAGATTAATTTTGTTACAAATATTATGCACACTTAGATTGACATGAGTCTTCTTTAAGTGATATAAATTATAAAAAATAACAAATTTATCATTCCAATAAGAAACTAAAATCATTTTGTACAGTTATAATCAAAATTACATTCTGTCATTGGACAGAACATTCCCCCTTTTTAATCAGAGAAAAGAGATTAACCAAGCAACGATTGAAACATCAAAACTTGAAAAGGCAATGAAAGTATATTTATTGTGACCAAGGAAGACAAAGTTCAACTCCACTAACATCTGCTAACTCTACAAACTTTTTACTACCTTCAAATTATTAACCTTCACCCCCTCTCCCAAACAAAGGGTTTTTAGCCAAAAGAATGGTGTTGACAGCACTGCCTCAGCTGATTTATGGAGATTTTTGTTGTTATCAAGCTGAACTTTATTATAAAGACCTTGATTCCCAGAGGATCCAGTAATTGAGAAACCCTATATATCTTGCGAAGAGCTCTGGTAGTGTAGTGCCTAAGGCACTTGACTGCTAACCAGAGGGCTGGAGGTTCAAACCCACCAGCCACTCCTTGCAAAGAAGGTTGGGCAATTTACTTCCCTAGTGATACCTCCTTGGAAACCCAAGGAGGGGTCGCTATAAGTTAGGTCTGACTCGACGGCACATAACAACAACATACACCTTGCAACAAAAGGCAGAGGATGACATATAAACTCATGATGCTTAAAAACTCACTGCCATCGTGTTGATCCCAACTCATAGCAACCCCCTTTGTGTTTCCAAGGCTATAAATCTTTACAGAATCAGACTGCCTCATCTTTCTTCTGTGGAGCGACTGGTAGGTTTCAATACCAACCTTTTAGTTAGCAGACAAATGTCTTAACCACTACACGACAAGGGCTCATTCATGGTGCTTATAGTTGTAGTAAATTGCACAACAATTTCTGCATTGGACTTAATGTCAACTGTTTTCTTTTATGATTTTTATGCACTCTTTACAATGGCATTGGAGTTAATGGAGTTGGAGCTAAATCTAGACTTATAAATTTAAAGATATTTGAGTCTACTCAGCTATTTTATATTAGATCTCTGAGTCCATGATTTGTCACAACATAGAGGGCCTCTTGAGTCCCACAACCATGTTCTTACCACTCTACTGCCTGCCGTCTTGCCTGCTCTTTGGCATTGTAATTTTCATTTCATTTTATTTCTAACCAAAGGAAAGATTTGTATCCTGTCATAGAGTTTGTTTATATATATATATATATATATATATATATATATATATTTTTTTTTTTTCCTTTATTCTTCAGATGGATTTTAAAATTGAACACACTTGGGATGGTTTTCCAGTGAAGCATGAGCCAGTGCTAGTCAGGCTGAGTCCAGGTGACAGAGGAGTGATGATGGAAGTAAGTGCTCCATTTTTCAATGATCCTCCAGCCCCACTTGGAGAACCAGGAAAGCCTTTCAATGAACTATGGGATTATGAAGGTAAGTGGAAGGACTGTATTTTATTGCAGACATAAATCTTTTTATAATAACCGCTCACAGAACTAGTATTATTTTATTATACTGTTAGGAAGTAAGTGCTTCTGAGAAACTGGCATGTGCACTTTCTGATATTTCCTACCAATCTCTCATTCTGATGTTTTATCCATTCCCTATGTGACTTCAACTATAAAACTAGAACAGTGAAAAATGGCAATTACAAATCCAGATTTTCAGATTGCTGCCATATTTCCTTCTTTTACTTCTTTTTCCTAATTTAAAAGTTTACCATTGGTGTTTTCTTTTTTACATATCCTCACATTGCCACTTCAACTTTATACACCTTTTTTTATGGAAGTTCTGGGATATTTTACTTATTACAGAAACATCATCAACTTCAACATGAAATGTTTTTACTTTATATTGACAAGTAATCTCACATATGCAGTTAAGGCATGTCATGAAATTAATTTCAGATTTTCTATATTATTCCCTTCTGGTATATCCTAATTAAGCTACCAGATTCATTTTTCTAATATTCTGTTTTCATGGTACCATTCCCCAGTTTACAAACCATTACTATCCCTGAGGATATATATACGGACCCTGAGTCCAAACCCTTCCTATAAGCTTTCAGGGTGCTCCTGATTGGGACATCGTACTCAACCAAAATCTTAACTTCTGAAAGGTTAATGCCATCCATTATCCCATCCATTCTCACTCAGGTATCATTTCTCATTCTATTCTGCCTGCCTTGAATGCATATAATTAAGATCTAATTCAGGACTCATTTCTTCAAAGAAGTTTTGATGACTTTTCCAGTCCATACTATCATTTATTTTCTTTGTACTATTTGTGTGGCATGTAATTTGTCAGTGTTAATTTGTCGTATGTTAAAAATATGTCTTCTCTGCTACAGACTTATAGCAAAAGGTGTGTATATGTTCAATGAAGTATCTTTCTGAGTATAGGACCCTTCTTTTACTCAACAGTATCTCACTTATTTTGCAGATCTAGAAGTGAGTTAAATTGATTCAAAAACCAAACTCACTGCTACCAAGGTGGATCTGACTCAAAGCAACCCCTCCTTGGGTTTCTGAGGCGGTATCTCTATGGAAGTAGATTGTTCAACCTTCCTTCCGAGAATGGCCGCTGGGTTTGAACTGCCAGCCTTCTGGTTAGCAGTCAAATGCCTTAGGCAGTACAGCACCACAGCTCCTTAAAATTGATTAGGACTCAGAAATACCTGTAGATAAGAAATTATCATACAGTGAGTTATTAGCTGGCATTTTGTTAGCTAAATTCCCTGATAACTCATACTCCTGTATGGTCACAATATGATAAATTTATATGCAGAAGATGCTTTGAGGGAATAAAAGATTAAATGGTTTTATCAAATCTTTAAAAAAGATAAAATTATGTTTAATAATATTGAAAATAATAAAATGAAATTTAAATTATTTTATAATTTGGAAAGATTTAATTGCTGAATATCATCTTTTGATCCTTCAGTGAAAATATACTTTAGTTCTACCTTATAATAAAGTAGCAGAGAAAGCAATACAGACACAAGTGTTAGAGAATTATTCATGCCCACAAAGGGTCTCTACATTGGCTCTTATAATTTATCAGTAAAATGAAGCTTGTGATTTGATTTGTCCTTCTGTATATTGTAATTACTAAAATTGATCATTAAAATTGTTTATGCATGCTATTTATTGAAAATAAAGGAATTTAATTCATGGCTTGCCACCTTTGGACATATAAATTTCAACATTTACTATAGCTTTCAAATGGAATGTCAACAGGACCAGATACTAATCATTAATAAAAAATTTGTGTGCCAGAATATAATAATTACTTATGGTTACATAAATCAAAATCAGAATTTTCCACCTGTATTTTGTAAGTATCTTTTTCATTCGTTTTAATTGAGTCAGTTTCACACTTGAGTTAAATATTTATATTATACTTTAGTCTTTTTTATCACTTGGGGAATGTTAGTGAAATAGCACACCCAAGATGATGAATATCTGCTTTTAACTCTCACTTTTCTTCCTGTTTTTATATATAACACTTTCCTAAAGAGGTATGGACTTGGGCAAAGGACTGAGTCTAGCTAGCTTGCTTGGTTCCTATTATTTTTCTGGTTGCCCTCCAGGGAAGTTTTTGTTTTAACATGATGTTGACCTACAAATCTACATCTCTGTTCTCTACCTCTCACCTGAGGTGTATCAGCTTCCTACTTGTGTATACAATATTGTGACTTACCTGCTTGGAGGTATTATAGGCACTAGACTCAACAAGTCCTAAACTAAACTCACCCACTTTTCTCATAAACCTGCTTCTTTCTCCATTTTCCCAATCTCTATCAATAACACTAAAAATAGGTCACATCATCAAATCTAGAAATGTGAGATCTTTTCAAGATACCCTTCTCTTTCACTTTTCATATTTGGATTTATTTACCAAGTCCTACCGGTTTCACTTCCTGAATATTTCCCTAATTCAGGTCCTCCTCTTCATCCCCACCGTTCCTCCAGTAGATTAGGCCTTCATTACCTTTTATCTAGGTAAGCTGAGGCAGAGCCCCGTAACTAGTCCTTTTGCCCTTAGACCATCCTTCATTTAGAGGCCAGAATGGTTTATCTAAAATGTAATTTTCAGCTCATCATTCAGCTACTTAAATACTTTATCCTTCTTAATATAATCTCTGTTCAAGATTATCCACGAGTGGGCTCCTTATTCTCTCTGCAGGAAATCAGCACTTCTTCCTACATTGAAAGATTTGCCTAGAAAGATTGAACTACTTGCAGATTTTTAAACTAGCCACACTATTTCCTAATTGTGTACCTCTGATTATGCTGCTCCCTCTGCTGGAATGCCCTGTCCATCATTCTCCCTTAACCAGCTCCAACTCATCTTTCAAGATGGAGTTTAAAGAGCACCTTCTCCGGGAAACTTTCCTGGAATCTCTTTTTGAACTGTGTTTTCTTTCATCATATAGCAACGAATACATCCCTCTGTCTTGATATTTTTATTGAAATACCCGCTTTGGAGTACTGGTAAGATTGTAAACTAACAAAGTTTCCCTGAAAATCTGACATAAGTGCTTAATACAGAGAAGCTGCAAAAATGTTTGTAAGGTGATGATGTTGTTGTTGTTGTTATGTGCCGTCAAGTCAGACCCGACTCATAGCGACCCCTCCTTGGGTTTCCAAGGCAGTATCACTACAGAAGTAGATTGCCTAACCTTCCTTCCAAGGAGTGACTGGTGGGTTTGAGTTGCCAGCCTTCTGGTTAGCAGTCAAGTGCTTTAGGCACTATGCTACCAGCGCTCCTAAGGTGATGATGGAACATAGAAATCAGAAGACATCCTAATTTGTTCAGATAAACATTTAGAAAGGGACAATAAGACTCTTTGAATTGTTCATGGAATGATACCTGTTAGCAATTTTATTACTATGAAAATAACATGGAAATTTGGAAATAATCTGAATGTATGTCAATAAGGATTAGGTGAATAAATTATGATAACATTGTACAGAAGAATACCATGAATTCATTAAAAAGAATAAAGTATTTGTATGCTGGAAAATATCTTTGTTAGTAAAGCAAGTTGTAGCAAAATATGATTCCAAATTTGCTTTTTAAATCTATGCAGGTAAATAGTTTGTAGAAGTATAGAAAAAAGTCTGGCTGATTTTAGACCGAAGGAAGAGTAAAAGACTTTCAAGTTTTACTTTCTTTTTTTTTTTTTTTAAACAATAAGCATGTATTACTTTCACAATCAGTTTTAAAACTAACACATGTTGAAAAAATTCCAGG